GGTAAGACAGGTTATCAGCCTTACAGACCGATGCGTAATGGCTATCATTTCACGACAGCTCCTATCTTTTCACATTATTCCTGCTTCGGTTCGAACGTTCTAGATGTTTTTGCCATTCAGAGGCGTGCACACATCGAAATTATAGGGGTAGATGTGGCCGCTGAGCTCCCTTAGAAATTTAAGCTTAAGCCTTCTTTGAGTTTCTAATACACATTAATATTATCATTATTGGTATTATTGTTATTATTATTATTATTATTATGTGCTGATTTACAAAAAAAATATATTATTTTATTGGAAAAAATATAAAATATGTAAACAAATAAGTTAAAAGAGAGTTGAAATACTTGATAAGGCAGGCCTGAGAGGTCCCTCACACATTGTCTGCAATAGGGCCTCAACTACAACCCCCATCCGAACGGGGATCTCGAAGGACCTAAGCGCCCATTACACTCCAGCTCCCCGCCCCCACCACTAGGTTTCGGCACCCCTGATGGGAAAGAAGTTCGAGTTCACTTAATAGTGCGGGCGTTAATTTAATTTTTTATTCATTTTTTTTTTCCAGACCAGCGTGACTCTGGGGTCGACCAGTTGTGCAGTTATTTTTTTTTCTAGGTAAAAGAATATGGAGGATTCAGTTGGACCTAAACCTCATTCATTTGCTAAATAAAGTAAAGGTCCCTTTTCCACACCTTTATGCGTATAGGGCATATTGGGCTAGACTTTTTGTAGACCACTCGGCACAAGATGGGTTGTGTGGTCAGCATCACACCGGCCTCCTTTACTTTCCGGGACTGCACCCAGGGACCTTCGGGTAAAAAAAGGGGGGGGGGGTTGAATGGGCCTAATCCGCCGGTTCCGTTACCTCTCTTCTGACTAAGAATATCTAAAAACCTAACACCTGATAATTCCATGAAACCTTTTCCCACGCCCTATTTATTTGTGGTGTTTGAAATTTCTTAGCCGTATTTTCTTATGCATACAAATTCTATAACGATACATCCACGCAGAAATATTATATATTTTAATGACACAATGGGAATAGCAGATGTGGGATTACCTTTATGATAAGGCATGGTATGTTTTAGGTACACGTCGTGTGTTCTAAATATCGCAGTAAATAAATAGCTGCACACAATGCGGTCCTCGCCTTTGCGTTGTAAAACTACAACTCGCATCGCACAACAATATTTGTTCCGCCTTCCTCGCTCATTATCCGGTACACATGTAACTGTGTCCCAGTTATTCTCCTCGTGTGTGAATCGTTTGCAAATGTCTGACCTAATATTAGCTTTCTTTTATGGGTTCACTGAACATTTTTGCTACAGTTGTGTTCTAGACCCTTGCTTTTGTTTTCACCCGTATTTTACAGCTTCGATTATGTGGTGAAATATGAGGTATTGCATCATGCTTTTCTGGCAATCTTGACCATAGAAACATAGTACGGTTGTAGTTTCTGTAAGGTTGGTTATCTTTCCACGTTGTTCTCTGCTTGCACTATGTCCCTCTTATCGTGTAATATGTGCCTTGTACTGTATGGCATCGTCGGACAGCCTCAAGCCGGGAAACAATTTTATTTGCTGTCATTGAGTGTAATTACGACAGTAAATTTTCAAAGGATTTTCAAAAATCCTTTTACAAGTTACAGTCGTTTTTTAAATTTAAATATAACTGTCGTTGTCTGGTTAGACGCTGACTGCAAGACGCATGTCTAACCTCTCTCTGTTATCAGTTAGTGTTATGGTCCGTTGCTGTTGTCACATGATTGTTCTAGTTTGTTGCCAATAGTAATACAATGTTCTAGTATCTTGCTATTGTTACAGCAGTATTGTGGTATGTTGGTATCCGTAAGGCAATGTTACAGCATCTCGCTTTGGTCACTGTTCTAATTAGTCTCAGTTGTTAAATTCTATTCAAGTAAAATCTCGATTATGTACTAGGTCATCAAAGTAGGAATGAGAGCAACATTATTAAAATAATTACTACTTGATGGCAGATTTGGATATCAACCTAGCGTTGAAAGAAAACACAGACCATGAGATATAAATAGATATGAATGGGCAATCCCCATCCTTGCTAAGTTCCCTTCCCAAACAAATCATAGAATAGGATGAATGAGAATCGCACATGTCGAACTTTCATGTAGCGAGCCCTACAGCGTGACCAGAGAAGACAGTGTGATTTGCGTATTTCAGTGTAAAGCAGTGGTTCCCAACCTGCCGGTCGCAGGTTATATGTATATATGTATATATATATATATATATATATATATATAAATATATATATATATATATATATATATATATATATATAGAACGACCCGTTCACTGGGGTCGCCTAAGACTATCGGAAAACACATATTCATTGGTTATGAATAAGAATAGTTGTTTGAGGGTCGCCACAACATGCAGGAATTGTATTAAATAAAGGGTCGCGGCATTAGGAAGGTTGAAAGCCACTGGGGTAAAGAGCTCCCCCCCCCCTCCCCTCCGGGCCCTAATTATGTATCGATACACATTGGAAATAATGCACCCTACAAGACACATCGAAATATGTCAGGCTATCAATTGTCCAATGTATTTTGTTTATTTCAAACCCCAAGTGTTCGGGTCGGTAGGCAAGCGTTAGCCACATTATTCCAGCAACTCCCAGTTGACGAACCAGACCTCTCAGATGACGCATGTTATTGCTGGGGAGACTTAGAAGTTCACATGAGAGCACTTGTCGAACCTGGAGGTTGGGGGAGGGATGACACTGCGATGAGTAATTCTAAACAAGGCCCTGTGGGTTGGATGTTTGAATTCCGCTATCGCACATACCTCAGTAAAACAAACATTGTATTCCTACAAGCAGCAGACATTTTCCCGCTTTAAAACGTCTCTTTGTTTGCTTTCTAGTCTACCTGCTTTTTTTCTTTAATTCAACTACACTTGCCATCTACAGCCGACATATTCATATTCAATTACCGGTAATTTAGCAAAGTTTTACTCGTTTAGAATACCTAGTCATCCCCTATCTCATTCTGTTTCTTTTCTTCCCTCCTCTCACCCCCCCCCCCCTTTTTTTTCCCCCCTGCACGGTTTAAACGCTAGGATAGATTAAACCAATCCTTTTCTCTATACTTCAAATATTTGAAATTTAAACCCCTAAAATGACGCCCCCACAGTGACTGGCCAATGATCTTCTGATGCAAGAAGTCCAAACGAAGTTTCATTGGATCTTCAACAAATATCAGCTGGAATAAAACTTCACTGTATGACGGATTCATCTTGTTCATGCCCCGATAACTGTAAAAAGATGTGGATACAATACATCATTGTGAACGCTTTTTTATATTCATATTTCATAACTGTGTTACAGAGGTAAACTGAGTGGAATGTTCTAACCGTTACGTTTTTTTTTTTAACTGTTTACTTTTTTTTAAAGAAAAGCTAATGTGTGCTTTTAATGTTATATTTGAATTTGTGATTTTATTATTATTAGTATTAATATAACGCCATCTATCGACTAACTGCATGTGTATTTACATTCTTATCCCGTAACAATACCACATAAGTATCGTGTTCGTTGCTGTTTGTTGACGTTCTAAGTCGATCTGACGAAGATACAAACGGAACATCTGTCCTGTGTTTGTGTTTGTTGAAATTGTGATATCAGTATCATAACTGGGCTTTATAGAAGATGTATTGGATGTTTTGTATTTGTTTACATTGTCATATGAGGAATATAACTGTGCTTATATAGAACTTGTGCTGGGTGCTTTTATTTGTTTACATTGTAAGATTAATATCATAACTTTGTTATATAGAACATCTGTTTCGTGCTTGTGTTTGTTTACATTGTAAGATTATTATCATAACTTTGCTATATAGAACATGTGTTGGGTGCTTGTATTTGTTTACATTGTAAGATTAATATCATGACTGTGTTATATAGAACATCTGTTGGGTGCTTGTATTTGTTTACATTGGAATATCGTTAAAATATAGAACATATGTTGGATGTGTGTATGTGTTTACATTGCCATATCGTTAAAATATAGAACATATGTTCGATGTTGTGTTTGTATACATTGCAATATCGTTAAAATAACTGTTATCTAGAACATGTTTTGGATGCTTGTATTTGTTTACATTGTCAGAACAATATTACAACTTTGTTAGACAGAATATTTGTTACATGCTTGTATTTGTTTACATTTCAAGATCAGTATCACACCTGGTAAACGGAACATCTGTGTTGTGTTTTTATTTGTTTACATCAGAAGATAAATAGTTGACCTGTGGTACAGAACATATGTTTTGTCTTTGCATTTGTTTGCGCTAAAAAAATCAATAACATTCATATTTTCCCGTGCCTACTGTATGTTTTTTTAATTTTATTTCAATTCTACTTACACAAAATTAGTAGTATGTAGCACTTTAGCCATTAAAAACACCATCTCATCCCCACCCCTCCCCTACCCTCACCCCTAATTCAAAACTCAAAAACTATTTAGAGAAACGAAACGTAGACAGTCAAGATTTTAAGCATATTTTTGAAGAGAGGGAAATCTTGACAACTTAAAGACAAATAGTAAATGGTGGCAAACGATCAAGGGGAAGAGAATGAGACAAATGTCGTGATGACAAACCATAAGCGAGATAAGAATACAGAACTGACCTGAGACTCTAGTGATTGTGTTGGAAGATGTGCCATGACCGTCTGCACTTATCCACACAGCACATGACAATGATAGATATAATACACTCGAGTCAGGGACTGTTGAGCGATGACAAAGCATGCACAACAACCTCAATAATCTAAAGACGTGTATGACATTAATGTAATGTATATTTCGCAGACAGGCGTTCTACCCAGCAAGCAGTGAATCCTCTCACCTAGTGTCTTAACAATATCGTTCACAACTGCACCTCTAACAAGACGTTCCCAAAACCAAAAGACAAACGCCTTCACCAAACAGTGACAAGGCAAATTACTGTGCAGTTAGGTAGGTAAAGACGACAGCGTGTTGTATACCGGCTGAGCAGCTTGTGTCTTCATTTCTGTGTCCAATCACATTTCGCTGAGACACCAGCACAAAGGTACTGTTTGGGGAGCAGTGAGCAACGAACAGTCGTCATGGATGAGGAAAGGAGAGTGGAGGAGAAACTTGAACAGTTTAAGAATGATGCAAAAACAGGTGAGGATGTGATTCTCTTCTGAAATCATTCTTCTTCTTCACTTCCTCTTTTACCGCTGTGGGTGTCGAGGGAGATATAAGGTTCTGTTTCTAGCTCTTCTGGCTGCCTCGACCATAGGCACATCGTGCTGTTGTAGAGTTTCTCTGATGTTATCCTTCCATCTTCTTCTTGGTCTACCCAGTGCTCTACGTCCTTCTTCTCTTTCCATGTATGCTTTGTATGGTATGGTGTCACAAGGCATTCTCTCTAAGTGGGCAAACCATTTCACTTGCTTCTGAAATCATGAATGTCCAAATGTCATTACAGATCAGTTTATGCAACTTGGTGCACATGATGTTACTTTTGTTAGATTTAATTCCATAGGAATGCCCTTCGATTTACTTGCTTTGTGATCTTTCTTCAAGTAAGGTTTAAGGTTTTAAACAACAGATCAACATCATGGCACACGGGTAGTAACCAACAAGTGTTCTGTTCTCAAGTCTGAGTCCGAAGTAGCTCATCGCAGTGCATGGGCTTTGTAGCACTGGTGAAGATTCGGAAATATTGTGGGTAGATTTTTAACTTCAAATTTTGCCCTGGCAGCCCGTTAGGCTTCTCGTTTTGTTTTCCAAATGCCAAGAAATTTTTTTACGTGCGCAAAAATACACACGGGTGTCCAATCTCACTACCCAGAGTCCAGGGGAATTTGCTAGAAGTCGACGTGAAAAAAAATAATCACAGATTTCATCAGGGCTTGAACCCGAGACCTCTAGCACTTGAGGCGGGCACCATACCTTGAAACGACGCAGCTCCCCTCTTGCTTTATATATTTGCTATTATGTGGCTTCATCCATCTCCTATCTATTTGTGCTTAAAATGTCATATATTGTCTGTCTTTTTGCATCAGTTAATTAGAAAGATAGTATACCTTTTTGCATCTATCTGTGCTTGTAAGCAGACAGACCATCTTCTTTCTTGTGTCGGTTTCCAGACATGATGTCTGACAGATTATTCCCCCTTCTTTAATCCGCAAAGCTCTCTCTCTCTCTCTCTCTCTCTCTCTTTCTCTCTCTCTCTCTCTCTCTCTCTCTTCCTCTCTTGTTGTACCCCACCAGTACATCATACAAACGATAAACACCCGGTGACACAAAATGCCACAACGCGAATGAGGATCACCCGTTGAGATAGTCCCGGAAACCCCGTTCAGCCGTTAGGCCATATTTCAGGCCCGACTATATTTAGGACCCCCGGCAGAAGCCAGTGTGGGGCTTCAAAATATCTAAAAATTGCATCCCATAAGGGGATGGCGAGGTAATGTTATCCGCAAAGCATATATTTATTCAGAATGTCTTTTCTCTCTCCCGTTGATTGCTATTGAATGAAATTAGTTAGTCTTCTCTGAGTGCCAAGAGGCTGCTTTCTTGCATCAATATCTTCTTGAAATTAGACAGGTGTATACGTTCTAGCAATCAGATACAGTTCAACAGTAAGAAAACATTCTCCTGTTGCATGTTAATTGCTCGCAAATCGCATATTTTATGATTAAATTACTTATGCTATGTAATGTTTCCTGACAAGTTTAAATTGAAAAATACAGAAAAGGCGGGAGAATTAAAAAGTCACTTTGCACAACGTAGCTCACATCACCGCTTCTCAAAAAGATTCTTGATCTTTTGCAGTTGCCTAGTCACGTCTGTTTACATGAACAGGGCATTTTCGGGGCATTGTGTCAACATTCAAGCTCGTCACACTCTGCCTTGTCTTTCAGACCTTATGCCTTCCATCATTGTTATTTTGTCTCCCACTGTAGGTAGAGTTGATATTAGGCTGTTCCTTCAACCAGTTGCGAGATCGCCTTGTTAAGCTCTCTGGTAGTTTCAGAGAACAAATTATGTGTAGAAGAAAGAAAGAACGTCTAAGTTAAAATCAAATTTAGAAATAAAGATATTTGTTTCTTCTGCATTCACCTTTAAAAGGGCGGTTGTCACGCTGTGTTGTGGTTTACATCTAGACTGCGACATCTGCGTCCTTAGGTCCAGTGTGTCTGATTTCAACAAAACCTTGATCTTTCGTCTTTTACATAATGCTAGTGGCGGATCAGTGCATCCATCCATTTCCTCCGTCATCCCTTCCCTCCCTTAACCCTTTCCGCCCTCAACCCTTCCCTCCCTCAACCCTTCCCTCCCTCAACCCTTCCCTCCCTCAACCCTTCCACCAAATAAAAAGCCTAGGCCCCGAACCCTGCATGGGGGAACTGTTATTAAGCACAGTTTCATAGGACTGGTGTGATTAAATATGCCTGACTAAGACTCGAATTTGTCATTGGTAAGAATAGGCGGTAATAGTTCGCTATCTTACCCGAACACCAGTCTCGGATCAGTTCAGTGTTTTAGTTCTGAGTATACCATGTTAACCAATCAAATAATCATCCTTTTGTTTTCCAAAGTTTTCTTTTCCTTTCAAGTTTAAAAGCTGTCGCTGAATTTAATATTTTTTTTTATTTCTCCAATTGCATGTCTCTAGGCCGGACATTTTTCGCAAATGACCTAGCCTCCCAGGTCTTCCCAGCCTTAAGTGGGTACCAGGTAAAGTCCTGGAAAGTAAACGCGGCCGGTGTGATGCCGACCAATTATCCACAAAGTGCCTTTTGGTCTATAAAATATAGGTCTGGCCCTGAATGCACAGTACGCCTAAAAACGTGGATACGGTCCTTTACCTATGTACATGCCTGTAGTAAGTACACAGCAATGATTCTCCCACTAAAGTAGTTTTAAAATTTCAAATGATCTTTCCCTTACTAATCTTTGTTTTGTTTTGCTGGGTCTCAAACTGCCTCCTACTATGTAACAATTTCAAACCAAGCGCCTGACGCAGGGTTAGCACAATTTAAACCAAGCGCCTTTCATCGTCTGGGCAAACATTTCCCTAACAAACATTACAAATAGTTCGTCTTGCAGGGATGGGCTAGGCGTACAGAGACAGTTTCTAACTGTAGCCATAAACCGATTCAGCAGGTTAGACCGGGTTGCCTGCGGTGTTGTGCAAGTCGCTAGCTTACAAAGATATGTCTGATGACATGCGTCTGAGGTTATTTCAGATACCTGAGTCTACATGTTTACTTTTTGTAGCCCCCGTGTAGGTTACGGGACCGCAATTTTGGGGCAAATAGTGAATAGACTATATATCCCTGCTCCATAACAAACATGTCGTCAAAGGCATAATATTATAAGTATGCTTAAATCGTATGTGATATCCAGCCTTGTTGTAAGCTATAACACATACCAGCTGCCCTTTACGAGCGAACGCAGAAGAAAATGAACACAAATTCGGTTAAAGTAACGTTAATCTCCTCAAATAGACTAGGTCACTTTTCATTCACAAGTGTGTTGGGCTTGTCGACCTTCCTGAAGGTTACGGATGTGTCCCGCTCTGTTTGCTTTCTGCGTTGTCTTGCATTTACGTTTTCATTCCGAGAAAGAGAATGCCTGTGGCATAGGTTGCAGCACTCTCTAGGGCAGTTGTGTAAGGGCCAGTTTCTCCATGTTTTTGGAGTGTTAAAAGCGCTGGCCTGCTGAAATATTCAACATGTAATTGGAACGGTATTGTGGAACACGCACGTAACCTTGTGCCAAGGTGACAGGTTCAGGAAATACCAATCAGAATCGAGCTAGTGTGTATATGGGCGGGACGTGGTGTGACTATCGTTACGTGTACCGAAAATTGTTGGTACATTGCTACATACTTTGACCTTATTTTCATTGATTCGACGGTCACCACATATTCTGAATGGAAGAAGACCTCTAAAGACTGCTTACCTATCTAAGTTCTATGTTCACCACTTGGAACAGGACATACAATTGTAATTTACCCTCCATCACATGACCAGACCGTCTTCACCAGCAATGGTCAGACGCATTTATTTTTAATCCAGGGGCAACTTAGAAAACTACTTAGAGTGTAGTATCAGTACAAAAGGACTTATTCCGCATGTTGAGCTTCTCCGCTTTTTGACTGATTTGCTGGAGGGCTACGTGGTCTCGAGGTATGGTTTTCGCCTCGAGTGCTAGAGGTTCCGGGTTCAATCCCCTGTAAGGGCTGGCATTTTTTCACGTGGACTTGGACTTCTAGTAATTCCCTCTGGTCTCTGGGTTGTGAGATCAGACTCCCGTGTCCATTGTTGCGCACGTAAAAAATCCCTTGGCAGTTGGAAACACGAAAAGTGTAGCCTAACGACGCTGCCCGGGCAAAATTTTGAGTTTAAAATCTACCCAAAGTATTTCAGGATCCTCGCCGGCGCTACAGAGCCTATGCAATGTGCTCATCTTCTTCAGACTCAGACTTGAGTTTGAAGAAGAACGGAACACCTATGGGTTACAACTGTGTGGCATGATGTTGATCCGTTGTTCAAAACCTCAAAAGCTGACCGAATAGCTACAATGCTCGGAGTGGTCAACTTATAGAGGTTCTGCTGTAACTGAGTTTTGGTTTCTTCTCAGTAATTTTACTTTTCTTTCATACACAGAGAAGCATATTAAATATTATAATAAGCAAGCATCATCGTCGTAAGTGCATTTCCGACTGTAGCGGGCAAACCTCTGAGGAGAGCTACAGAAATGACTAGAAGTGATCAAATCAGGTAGGCGGTCATAAAGGAAAAAGTCGGCCCAGAACCAAGTCTAAATTACTTACAAGGACACCGAATCAAATGGTCTGCTCACTTAAAAAGAATGCCCTGTGGCACCATACCACACAAGGGTGTACACCGAAAGAGGAGGACGTAGAGTACTAGGCAGACCAAGAGCAAGACGGAAAGATAACATCAGAGAAATTCTATAACAGTATAATGTTTATACGGTCGAGGCGGCCAATCCTGAAGTAGAACCTAATGTATCCTTCGACACCCGAAGCGGTAAAAGAGGAATGAGAGACGGAAAAAAAGAGTCAATTTTATTTATTTTTTTTCTCTTTAGATTTATTATATATCATGGAAAAATAATCGCAGGCTCATTTTTATTATGGGAGCCGTGTTAGTGTAGTAGCTAGCCATTCGCTTGCCGGCCAAAAGTTATAGAGTTCAAATCCGCATCAAAGGGGATTTTTTAAAATGTAGAATTGATGTAAACAGATTCTCATTGTGTACATGAAAAACGAAGCGGGTTAATATCGCTATGAGCTGAGCTTCTCTGCATCTTCTTCTACCTTGCAACTTCTATTGGAGCATATATCACCAATCAGTTCAAGCATGTCTTTTTTGCTTGTTCATGCATGGGATAATGATACTGATAATGATGATGTTAAAGATGATTTCTTCTTCTTCTTCTTCTTCTCCTTCTCCCCATCCTCCTTCTTTTTCTCCCCTTCTTCTTTTTCTTCTTCTTCTGTTCGCCATGAAAAGGGCGATGGGAGTGTTGTGTTGAGGTTTACAGTTAGACGGCCATTTCCTCTCATTTCTGTCTAATACATCAGTTTCATGAAACCCCCAAATTAGTCGCCTTTATGACCTGCTTGTCAGGCCCCCTCCACCCCCAGGGGCCCCGAAACCCACAAAAGGAATGATGATGATGACAATGACGATGTTGATAACGATGATGGTGAGGATTTCAGTAGTGATGGTAGTGATGAAAACGATAACGCATGTTTAATAACGTCTCTTGCATTCATTCTGTCATGAACGATTTGCAATACCGGCTTCACATAGCAGCCCCTTCCCTAGCGTGTATGTGTTAACATCAAACCTGTACATTAATAGAAAACAAACTGTATATAGACCGTCTGTGTTCCCGGCTATTTGTACGCTCGGATGCACATACATGGGGCGACACCTATTTTGTTATGCTGCTTCTATTTGCAGGCTAATCGAAATATTGTTGCTTTCTGACACACGAGCGTTAGCCGGAATTAACTTTCAGGCTTTATAACAGATCATAGGTTATTTCTCTGTTCTATTATAAAGTGATTTCTAAACACGTGATGGACCGTGCAACGTTCGTTACCGTGTCATCTTTGTTTTCCCTTGTGCAATAATTTAGTCGTCTGTTCTTCACTTAATAACTTATATGTTAGGACCTGTTTACTGGCTTTTATTAGGCAGTCTGTGAAAACACATAGACGATTGTTGCGTAGTTCACAACTGAGTTGGGGAATTAAGATTTTCCAAAGCTTACTAGAATGTTCAGCCGCAGTTTGTGTAGAAGCAAGTCAATTAGTATGTTTCAGCTGCCAACAGTTCCAGACATTGGTAAGTGTGAGTCATAAGATAACTGATATTAAAGGGAATATGTTATACGTATCAGACAGAGAAACTCCGTCTTTGGACACGTCAGTCATGAGAAAACCAGCTCTTTGGGCAAATTGCACTGATCCAAAGAAACAAACATGGATCAGTAGAAACCCAAAAGATCAGTATAGAAATCAATCTGCCTGTGTTATCAACGTCAGACCTAGACAATGACAGACACAGAGAAATGAAAAAATTACAACAACAGAAATAAGATTCTGGCGAAGGGCTCATAATTTAAAAAGAAGAGATGCAATCAGGAAAATTAAAATCCGAATGAAAACGAGGGTAGCAACTGCTCTGTATTTTTGTAGAAGATCATATGGTTTAACCATTTAACGACGATGTCAAAAGACAGTATACCATAGTAAGCAGTCATGTACAGACCAGGCGAGAAGCGAACAAGAGACCGACCATGCAAACGATGGACAGAGGGATACCTCAGAATCCCTGGGAATTCCCATCCACGAAACATGTAAACTGGCACTTTCCCGTGAATTATGCTTCACCTCGACATGGCAAAGTATCAGAGGATCAAGATGAGATGAGATGCGTCATGAGCAGGGAAATGGAGAACTGGAGTACGTCATCTTCTACCTCTTCTGTTCCTCCAGTTACCTTAACAAATTATTCGGGAAATTTAAAAAAAAAATGTCTGCTTCCTTTTTCTAATGCATCCAATAAGTTACTCCTCATTTCTTTAAGGCTCTTGTTAAGGCCATCGTTTCATCCTTTCCTTGGTCATTCCCTTCCTATGCGATCATTATATTTAATCAGCGTGGTTCTCAGTCGTGGTTGGTACCAGGGCATTCTGGTCAAATGGCCAAATCATCTCATCTGTTGCTCTTTAATGAATTGTGTGACCGAGTTCAGTTCCAGTCTTCTTCTAATTTCATTATGTTTAATGTCAACACCTCCTATTACTCCCACAGCTCTTCTAAGACATCTCTAGGATTTTGACTTTGCGGTAATTAGCTGGTAGCATTGATTTCGCGCACAAAAAAGTTGGAGTATGTCATCGTCACAGTAGGGAATTTGTGAGGGAATAAAGGCACCGGTTTGGAAAGGGCTGGGGGCGGGTGGGGTTCAAGAGAGAAGATGTAAGTTTAGCATAATGATGTAGAGGGACATATGTATAAAAAATGATTGGCATAACATGTGATAAAAGTGCCAACAGATATGGTGACCGATGAGATCATGACCATGGTGACCACATCACCCACCAAATGCGGACTGGTCTATAAAATATGTGTGCTAGCGGGAAGAAAGAGAGGAGGCAAAACACAGAAGAAGGGGAGATAAAGAGGAAAATTTTGATTAGAACAAAAGTAATAGTTTCCCGCTAAACAACAAAAACAGGGAAGTAAAGAAAAGACAGGGGTTCTTCTGCGCAAAGATCCTAGAATATTTCGCTGAGACCCTAACTATGAATATCTATATTATGAGTTACATGACGACGACCTAACTACATGGGTACATACACCTAGACTAACCACGGACTACCGATCCTAAATTAAATCAAGCAAATGAATTCTGATCACATTAAACACCTGTTTATTTTACTCAACATAACATTAGCGTGATCCACGAATAACATTAACAACAACTAACGTGCTCGACCAGAGTCTAAAACATGAATCATCTCCAGCTAAAAAGGAAATATGATAATGACACCATATGCTCAGCGAAATTACCTCAACCATAGGCAAAAACCGAAACATATTTAACATGTGGGTTAACTTCAATATGCCAACAAATCACTTATAGCGACCTGCCATCAAACTATCTCCTAGCAAAGATGCACAATGGAAATCAAATCTGACATTACCTAGCCAATTGAACGTACCGTGATCACGAGCCAATCTAACATCGCTCAGCCGGTCCGATCTGACACACCTGTGCGTTGAGACCAAGTGCAGTCAACAACGACAAACAGGGTGCTTGACCGTAGCAAGCAGGAGCGACCGCCAAATAGAATGAGGCCAATAATCAGTTAGTCGGCTGTTTAAATACCAAGTGGCCAGACTTTTCTCCATCTTGCTGTCTAGGACTATAATTTGGTCACGTCTTGACAATTTTTAAACCAGACTAAATCAAGATCTTCAAGCTGTTGAACTGTAGTCTTATCAGCCTATTACATATGCCTAGCACTATATGCCCAGTACGCCTGAAGGCAATGGAAAGGGTCCTTTACACCAGTGTTCTTCAACCATTTTACACGCGAAAGCCAACAAAAAAAGGGAATTTGTTTTGCGGCCCACTCTAATAGAACGCAGAGAAACAAAATTAACACGTACTACTTATTAAGCCTACCCCAATGTGGAACGCAATTTTTCATTTTTTAAAGCCCCACCAGGCTGTAGTCGGTGGCATTAATATAACCTAATGGTTAAACGGGGTTTTTGGGATTTGTGGCCGGGCGATCCTCATCCGAATGGAGGCACTTTCTGTCACCTGTTTTGGTCGCTCGTTGTGCGGTCCTAGTGGGGTTTAACGACACACATATCGACGTGCAGGAAGCTACAATTTTGCTAAAATCATATAGCAGCTTCACGAGTTATTGTCCTTATTCCTAGCCCAGACTGGACTACATGTTACATAACTCCCAGGTACCGTAGACTTAACTGTTTTATGTCGTTGAACAGGATTAGTACCTTGTGATTCTCATTCTTGAGGTGTCAGATTCTACAGACTGCAATCGTGAAAGAGCAAAACTACCTACCCTATCCTGCTCCATGATAAGGCAGACCCGTGGGTTGAAGAACACTGCTTTACTCTTCTTATAGATATCGAATTCTTCAAGTAGCAGTGGCAAACTGCTAAACGTACAATCTCCTAGTATAACTACAAACAGCCAACACTTGCTAATGTAGGCTTCCCGTGACCTGTAAAAGGAAACTCAGCTAAATATCTCAGCATGTATTCCAACCATTTGACAAGCAAATTCTGACTTTACTGGCAACAACAATAATCAAGCCACCATGGTGTTGAGGTGGTCGTCTGCTTGGTTTAGTCTTCAGACAGACAGACAGAGAGACAGACAAATAGATCTTTGTTTTCATGCAGGCCCATCTTACATCGGCCCTCCCAAGCATTCGTCTTTCAGACCAAAATTGCCTGTTATCAATAAAGCACGTTATGTCTGTACAAAAATGTACATAATGAAATAATGCATACGTACATCATTTTATTTTGCCTTGTCCTACAGCTTAGAGGAGCGATGTCATCATTGCAGTCTGTATAAACGTGACTGAGCGAGTTTCCCCTTCATGATAGTTTGGATAGGGGTACGACCTAGAGCTGCCAGACATAAACAATTTACAAATAATACACTCGAGACTTTTGATAATCAATAAAGAAAGGAGAAGATCAGACAACTCATGGATGTATCCAGAGTGCAATAATGATATTCCTAATTAATCACTAATATCGAGGAAACCATAAAGTTGCTTTTTGTTTCATTTCATATTTCACCCTTAGTAATGTTCTTCGATCTCGACTGTGACTACAAAGTTTACATGACCAGTATGTTGGAAGTGTTTTCATAAGTATTAAATTTTTGAACTTGTCGTTGATTCTTTTCTCATAATGTGATTTCAGAAGAGAGCGAAGATACTCGAGGCACATACTCCTTAGAATCCGAACTGGAAAACAGAGAAGACGTAATCTGATCTTCGATGAGGAGCGCTTTGAAGAAACGTTCTTGAAATGCCTCATCTGTAGAGAGGTGTACAACGAAACGGACAAGCTACCAAAGATGTTGCACTGCCACCACACGTTCTGTCTGGACTGTCTGTACCAGATGTATCGAGTAGAGGGCGAGTTCAGACAATCCTTAACTGGTGTCTTCAGAAGCATGCCGATGACAGTCAAGATACAGTGTCCCACATGTCGCGAAGGGATTCTCATCTCTGAACAGGAGTTACGTCGTCTTCCTAACGACCACACCATCATGGAACTATTGTCCTTTGTCAACCAAACTAGCAAGAATGACGTTCAGTACTGCACAAAGCATCAAATGCAGCCACTCAACTTTTTCTGCGAGCCTTGTATTATGCCCGTATGTTGCGACTGCACAGTGATCGACCACAAAGAATCCAAAGGTCATATTGTCGTCAACGTGGACGAAGCAATGAAGACATACACACCGATTGTAGAAGAAACACTTGATGAGATTCGAGCTGAAAAATTTAATCTTGCAGCCAAACGAGAAGCCTTAGAGAGCGCGCTGGTTGAACTTGATCAAATACAAAGGAATTTAAATACCCAAATCCGAGCAGTGTTTGACAAGATTCGGGAGGTTCTGGATGAGCGGGAGAAAGAACTCTACGCTGTCTCAGAATCAGAAATAGAACGAAAACGCGAAGTGGTCGAGGGCCACATGAAGGTGCTGATGGACAGGGAGTATGAGCTAAACTCAGAATTCAACGACCTGCAGAAAGCAAAGGACCAAAAAGATATTAGTCAGATTTTCTCTGGCCACAAAGCTGCTCGAGAAATGTTGATCAAGAAAGTGCACGTTCCAACAAACTCTACCAAAGGCTTTTCTGTGAATTTTCAGTACAGTAGTCGAGCTGAGGCCATCATCAAACAAAATGTAGCCAACCTTGGAGACATTATTTTTAAGACGTAGACCTCTTTTAGCAACTAGCAGGTTGTCATAGTGACCAGTTCCATATTGCTGCGTGTTTGTTTATTTTAAAAAGTAATTTTTTTTTCTTAAAATTTGCGTTGTGTCTTCTTGGAATGTAAATGTTGTTCAGATGTGAACTAATTAATGATGTCATTATACGCACGGAGGGGAAACACAATGAGACAACAAAGGCATTTAAAAATAAACTACAAACATTCATAAACTGGTGCCTGCGCAGGATAGAGGGAATTAAAGGGTATGATGAATCAGCAATGTAAAGCTTTGGAAAAGAGACCTAAACAAGTTCCAGTAGTCCAAAAGGTGAAGAAAAGTCACTGGTGATGGATAGGACACACGTTGAGAACAATATAACTAGAATGTCTTTGCACTGGAACCAAAAAGGGCGTATAAATAAAGAACGACCACACACACACACACAAAAAGACATAAACCACCAAGCGCTTAGAATCAGTCAGTCTATCCGCCTGTTCATTTCCTAACACACCGGCATCATCTAAAAAAATTGCCAAAGAAAGCTAACTATGTACGATGTGTTGTCTCTGCAGATATTTCCTCTGTTGGAATCTCTGTATATGGTGTATCTATGCTTATTTAATAAAGTTCATATGTACATTTTTGTTTCAATTGTGGCGTTAGCTCTCATGGCACAGCAATGGTCAATACATTCTTGACGCATGATCCCAAAATAAATATTTTCAATTTTGAACAGGATACAGAGAATATATATTCTTGTTCGCCTGAAATTCTGAATTTCACTCATTGGGTCACTACTGTATTAAACATATTGAGAGAAAACCTTTAATTTTAAAATGAAAAAGCTCGCCCCTCCCGCCCCCCCCCTACTTTTTTTCCTCCCTCCATCCTCTGCAGGATAACCATCATAAGGATGAGAATCAAACGTATAAATCCCCGGCACCCTATTCAACAGTATAACCAAGACCGGCTCCAGCTGACTAGCCATGCTGCTGACGTCACCTAACCGGGCTATGATACCTGGTTAGGTGACGTCAGCAACACAGCTCTTCAGCTGGAGCCGGTCTTGGTATAACATAGTTATATGCACCCTATTCAACAGTATAACGAAGACCGGCTCCAGCTGACGTCACCTAACCGGACTAGGATACTTTTAAACGTATTGTAGCCTGGTTAGGTGACGTCAGCAGCATGTCTCGTGAACTGGAGCGGGTCTTGGTATAACATAGTTATATGCACCCTATTCAACGGTATAAACAAGACCGGCTCCAGCTGACGGGACATGCCAACCGGGCTAGGATACGTTTAAACTTATCGTAAACCCGGTTGGGTGACGTCCGCAGCATGGCTCGTCAGCTGAAGCCGGTCTTGGTATAACATAGTAATAATGGGGCACCACAATAACTGTAACCTGCATTCCAGTGTGGATGACCG